AGTTTATTTTTTTCATTAGTTATCAACCATGGAATTTGGGAGAACTGATTCCTCACTCATGCTCTGACTTTTCAGTGATATGGAGATCTGTGGAATGGGGATCTGAGGGATTCGGATCTCCCATAAATCTGTTTGTTCGAAAATAGCTTCGCTGCTGGTTGTTTTCGAGAAAAACAGCCATTGATATATTATTTGGCTTGGCAGCGATATAATTTTTCATTTTTGGTGTCGTATTATAACTGTATCCTTTTGTATGGAGCTAAAAGAGGTGAAGTGGTTTTCAATTCGTTCATTGAAAAATGAATGAACTGAGTGAAACTGAGTAAAAATAGAGTACCTACAGTACACCACAAAATCAGTGACATATAAAAAATGTTTTGAAATGCTTCAAATTTAGATGTAATTCTCTAAAACATGTTTGGACCAACTGGTTCATGAAAAAAATCTAAATTTTATTCAAAACACTCTTCAACAGTTCCACAATTGACGTATTCGAATAAAACGTCATTATTTCAACCCAAATAGCACGTCGCAGTGAGTAAAAACTGCATATTAACAAAACTTTCGCCCTTAGCGTGTCCTGAAGTCATGAGAGACTTCCACTCCGTCTTCCTTTTGCAGAGAACAAGTGACATACGACGTGACGAGACCTACGTGGTCATTACTGCGGTCACTTTGTGCTACCCTCCGAGACTGTATGTAGCCCGGTGGTGTTTTTATGCATCTATCAACGACATTGTCTGGATTTGAGTCTGAATTATGTCGGAATCCTGATCAATCTATTGGAATTAATGATACTCATTCAGAACCAATTTCCTTCCCAGTTGAATGAATGGAGAAATTTGGGGCATACATTCATCAAGTGAGGTCTTGTTGGGGTAGTACATGGATGAACGATTATATGAACAAGGGAAAAGAAAGTAAGGAATATTTAATTTTTGAAAGACTTTGAAAATTATCATTTCAACAATATCGTTCCAACAGGTTGGCTGGTCAGTTTCTTTACTCGAAACACATCACAGATAGATAGATAAACAGATAATTCCTTTTTTTACTTATGATGTACTACACCTTCGGTGTAGTGGTGTAGTAATGAAAATTACTGGAGATTTTTCCCAACACCAAATCGTTATTTTCAACACCTCGACACGTGTTTCGATCACCATCTTCAAGAGGAAGATAAAACTTTAACTTTGACTTTGACTATATCATATACATATGCATATTAGTAGGAAGTCATTTGGTCTTAAAATAAATTAAGTTATTTGGAAGATTTTCACATTTTTTTGGGGTGAATATGAAGAAGTAGAAAGCTAAAGGATGATAATGTGATGATGAATCCAATGTGAATCATTATTTTCGCACAGGCACAGCTCTAAGAACGCCTCAAGGATTTTTCTGTAGTTCTTGTGTTGCCCTCAAAAAAAAAACAAGGTACAACGTAATGACCATCCATAATCCATATTAGGAATATGAAATTTGGCAAAGTTGAGTTTTTCATTTGTTCTATTGATGAAAATAATGGCATTTTTGCAACAGTCTATATTGTACTGGGAGTCGAAATATACTTTTTTATTTCAAACAAAATATCCTCTATATTCTTACATTTATAGATACCTGACATATTTCGATTATGAGTTTATGTGATACACCCTATACTAAAAATTTATCGATTCCAAAATATTCACTTTTTCATNTTATACAAGGTGTTTGAAAGCAGCTGCTGAATCTGAAGATACATAAATGACTCATAGTTATGAGTTTTGAGAGAAAGTATATATCAAGAATCAACTTACAACGAGATGCTTAAGTTTATCTTGATAAATGGGACAAATATAATTTTTGTGTTTAGGGTTATAATCAAACAAGTGTTTAATGCTGCTCGTTTATTACTGACTAGCCATATATTCGATCTGCGATACATTCAGGCCTTTTTTTACCTAGCGAAGTGTAGGAGCGTACTCTGAAGTTTTCCCTAATACACTACAATAATAAACCAAAAAGATGTTGCCTACAAATATTCTATTAAAAAAATCAAAATTATAAAATATACATAAATAATAACTTTTCATGAAATTGTGAAAATAACTCGATTGAATATTCGATCGATACATTCAACTCCTTTGATGGCGATGCCTGGAAGTTAATTGCTGAATTTTTTTTGGATATACAAAAAAGCTACTGTGATAGCGAAACATGTGATATTTTTGTAGATAAAATTTGTGAAGATCATATCTTTTTGGTGTGGTTAGTGAAATTACTGTGGATCTTCATCAAGTAACGGCTAAGTCGTTCAGAAAAATGAGTCAGAATAATTTCAGAACTTCGAAATCATGATGAAAAAACAAGTTTTGAATCATTCAATCAGGTTAAAGAATGGCCACCGATTCCAAAAATTTTTTATAACATTTTGGAAACAGTAACGCCTACAAGACGAAGAATAATGATGATAATAATAATAATATTCATTTCACTTGTTGAACAGTATGAAAGCATTACAATGAACATTTACATACCATAACAAGGAAGACTTCCATGTATAACTAAAAACAAATATATATAAATATAAATCAATAAAACACGACAGATACTAAACTGTACATATGAAGGTAATTAACAGTTTTTTCATCGAGAGTAACTAATAAAACTCGTCAACGGTGTAGCAGTTTCTTTCGGTAAGATATTTTTTCAATTGTCTTTTAAAAATGCAGATGTTCATTAAGTCCTTAATAGAAACATCTAGCTTGTTATACAGTTTGAGTCCAAGGTATAGGTGACTCTTCTGATAGAGGGAGGTTCGGTGAGGATTCGCTACCAACAACCCTCTAGTTCTAGTTGCGTATGGGTGGTCTTGCTGGTTTACGCTAAATTTTATCTTTATTCTTATGAACGTAGAGACACATTTCATATATATACAGACCAGCAACTGTGAGTATTTCCAGCTCTTTGATTGAACTTTTACATGAGTGTCGCCATCCTAAACTAGCAATTATTCTGACCGCGCGCTTTTGTAATATAAATACTCTTTCAGCAGAGGAGCTCATACCCCAATTCAAGATTCCATAGCGCAAGTGACAGCCAATAGTTGCATAGTACAGATTTAGAAGCACCTCTCTTCCACAATGATTCAACATAAATCTCAGTGCATAACAGTTCTTTCGTAGTTTATCACAAAGTGAATCTATATGAGAACCCCAATTCAGCTTATGATCTAGAATTAGACCTAGCATTTTTGTTTCTGGTTTGGGTGTCACCTCTAGTTGGTTATCTTCATATATTTTGAGAGTTTCAGTGGTGTTCTGCATTGTGAATTTGACTAATGCTGTTTTGCTGATATTTAGTGCTAAATGATTTTTTTCAGCCCATTTCATTATTTTCTCATACATGGATTCTGTTGTTTGTGCAAGTGCTAATGTATTACAATCAGTAACCAGAACATTTGTATCGTCTGCATATGCAACTCTATGTACCTTTGAAAGACTATTTTAGTATTGTATCAAGTCGTTCGCATAAATAAGAAGAAGCAGTGATCCGAGTATAGACCCCTGTGGAACTCCTTGCTTGCAGGCCAAGGACTGACTGTGAACACCTTGAATTCTTACTGTTTGTGACCTGTTCCCTAGATATGACCTCATCCAATCTTGGGCAACTCCACGTGCCCCATAGCGATGCATTTTCTGGATTAGTACATAGTGATCCACAGAGTCAAATGCTCTAGAAAAATCGATGAACGAACCACAAATTTGCAGTTTGTTATCCAAGGATGTTACTACGTGTTTTATGAAATCATATAAAGCTGTTTTCGTGCTTTTACTATGCATGAAACCATACTGGTTTATCGAAAGTAATTCATTTTTGAGGAGAAACGATAGTAACTGATTTTGATATTAATTTCGAATACCTTGGATATACTAGACCTCTATCCATGAATCAAAGCTCATTTATATGTATCATATTAGATTTTTCAACCAACAAAAGAATAAATCTAAAGAAATGAACTTCAAACGTTCAAGCCAGTCTCGGATATACCTACACAGTAGGTTGAATGGACTGACGCCTATCAGACACAAACTACTCCCCTGGCTAATACCACGAAGGACGATGGATTATATCCGATAGGCGTTAGTGCAGGAATCTTCACAGAAAATTTCCTGAATATGCAATTGGCAATAGACCTTCAATTTTGGAACGGGCACACTGGCAGAGCGGTTTCGGGTTTCGGGAATATCATCGATGATGGCCACTATCTTGCACTGACGAGTGCTCAATGAGCCCGTAACCGGTCTTCAAGTGTTCCCATTCCAAAATTGAAGGTCGACTTTTTCAGTTGCATTGCCAATTGCATGTGCAGGAAATTTTCTGTGAAGATTCCTGCACTGACGCCTGTCGGATATAATCCATCGCCCTTCATGGTATTAGCCAGGGGAGTAGTTGTTTTCTGAAAGGCGTCAGTCCATTAAACCTACTGTGTAGGTATATCCGATGCTGGCTTGAACGTTTCTTTCTTTAGATTTGTTTACTGCCACTCTTCAAGCATAGGCCACTGACTAATAACAAAAGGATATCTCGAAAACGATCTATGTTTGGTATAAACACATACTCATATCATACCAGCTATCTGGAAAATAAGCTATTGTGTGGTGAAACACGTGTGACAGTTTTGTAAACTGTCCAGTAAAAATCTCACAATGAAATGTTACTTGAATAAGTTATTATTATGGTTATTAAGGCAAACCTTCCGCTAGCCTTTATATATTCCACAGCACGCTACACAGAAAAAACAATCAGAAGATTCACAACTAACACAAAAAATTGTTTTCTATAGGGACATGGCTTCTTCATTTTCATTAGTTGTTTACTGTTTTGGCACTATTCCTATGTGTTCAATAATATTTGTTGCTACTGAAACTGTGTCACTGTGGGAAAGTCATATTCATAAAATCTATCAAACCACGTTAATGGTATTTTTAGAATAGTTGGGTGATAACTCAAACAATCAATATGATATAGCTCATTTATTATAGACAAATATGTGAAAGCATATGAGCAGAAAATAACTTCCAACCAAAGTAGTATTCTGTTCGTACTGACAGTATTCAACTTCATAGATCTGCACAGACAACGTATCTCTCAGCGTCACATTTGAGGTCATTCCAGAGTAATTGGTATTTATCTGGTTGATATGATGCTTCTACGCAATGCTCTCTTCCATCTGCATCATTAGGTTCACCAGGAGACCAACTAGTGAAAGAGAACGGTTTTCCAATGGCTGTCCAATACCATATGTCACCGATCTTCTCGCCAGAAGTCCAGAAAGAAATGTGTTTATCAGAAACTGAAATGAAACCAATGATATCAATGAATATTATCTTCAGTTCAGCAATAATAATCAGTTAAATTCAATAGAGTTCACTCCAGAAATTATATTAGAGAGAATGAAGTCACTTGATGTGAATAAGGGTGTTGGGATCAATGGTTACCCCACATACTTCGTTAAAAACTGTGCCTCTGGTCTATGCTATGCCTCGAGTATATTATTTAACAAATCCATGCAGTCTGGTGCTTTCCCAGAGCTTTGGAAAACTGCTCTACTAGTCCCGATTTATAAAATCTCTATATAGTAGTAGAAACTCAGTAATACATTATCTAGGTATCACTAAACTGTCCATTTTCAGCAAATTGCTTGAAAGCATCGTTTATGACTCTATGTTTTACTATATCAAGTCATCAATCATAGAATGCCAGCATGGTTTTTTCCAAGGATACNTTATTTATATCCTAAAAATAGCAAAGTGTGGGATGAGAGCTATGAACAGTTACAAAGGTCCCATTCCATCTGAATAGAAACGTCTTTGTTGGGAAATAGTTCTGTTCATCTCCTGAAGACGCCAATTTGGTTGGTGAAAGGCGTGTCGAAGATAGTATTGCAGTTCTGGTGATGAGGAAAAATGCAGAGGTTTCAGTTTAACGTTCTATCGAATCAATAGGCAATGTTATTATGAAACTGGAGATACCATCAATCCCTATCCTCACTATTATAAAATATTTGCTGACTGAAAAACTAATGTCATTCCGTAGACAAAAGGATATAGCCAGAAAAAGACTGAAGTAGGCAAAGAAAACTCGAGAACATGCAAGACTGTTGAAAAGTTTTTCAGGATTGCATAAATTATAATTCTGATAAAATATTGTTTCAAAGTTACCTTTGTCTCGAATTGTTTCGTAAAGTTTGTCGTTTATCGTTTTGGTTTCAATGCTCACCAAAGCTTTGCCTAGAGATTGACAAAACACTCTAGATTTCGGATGTGTCATCTGAAAAATAAAACATTTGTTACTCAGACTCAAGTATGAATTGGGACAAAAAAAATGGGAAAAAATATCATACGTTGCTGAGAATCCAAATGAAGTTTGAGGGCTTTTCATTTCTCGAATTTGAAAAAACTAGGTTAGGTATGAGTAGATATTTGAAAAATTTCAATGAAAGTATTTTTAATCTTGAACCAGGTGTAAACCAATTCAAACTCGTGCCCATAACGTTTCAGTCTCAGCTCGTATGAAAGTGAAATTTTGGTAGTATCTCAATTCGAATTGGTTGAATCATGGATATTTTTTGAGCATTTATAGTTTTACAGAAAATTATTGCAACTTTGAATTTTCAAATAGAACACTATGTGTGTTCATACACGAATGTCCTACTTTAGTCTCTGGTCTAGATTCCTAGCCATACTGGCCTGGAAGGCAATGAAGCTGCTGACTCCTTTGCAAAGGAAGGTGCTGCAAGCAGCTTCATAGGACCAGAACATGTCATTGACATCGCTTCAGGCTTTGCCAAACAAAGATTGAACGCCTGGATGGCAAGAAGATTTATGGACTTCTGGCAGAAACTTCCAGGATTGATACCAAAAAGTTATTGGACTACAGTACGAATGAACTTCGATGGTTAACAGGCCTTCTTACAGGTCACTGTCATCGGAATCATCATATGCAGAGACTTGGACTGTAGGAAAACAGTGTGTGTCGCCTCTGTTTGGAAAATGATGTAACATCAGAGCATACACTCCATGCCTGCCTCGTTGGCGACCAAATCAGGTTTCTAGAGTTCGGCAGAGTCGTATCATTACCAATTGACCTGAAAGACCACTCACCATACAAAGTAATCGGCTTCGTTAAGAAGCTAGATTCATTTGGTCATTTTTGTGGTTACAACACACAACTTGGTATAATTTGTAAAACATCAGTTATTCGTAAAGTACACTTCCGATAATAAATGTAGTGAAATGTTGAAACATTTCATACAAATGAAAAAATACAGGGTGAATTATGTCTGTTCGAAAATGAATGAAACTTGACCGGTTTTACCAAGCACACTATATATTGTTTTCGAAAGTTGAGATTCCAGAAATCATCATAGTGATGTTGACCAATCACTCCTAAAAAATATCTACTTTATTGCTGTAGATATGCGGGTGGTGAATTAAAAAATTATTCTCTGCAAAATAGATTTTTTTGGAATAACTTGGCAATGCCGCAATGGAAATTCGAAACCAAATATTCTTCAGTTGTGGAATTGGCCACAATGGTAGTGCGCCCGACTCACGATCGAAAGGCCGTGGGCTCGATTCCCGCCTCGACCAGATATTTTTCTCGAGAGAATTTATTTGGTTGAAGCTGGGATGATTCTGCAACCGTGTTAGGAATCACACATTGAAAGGTAAGACCTCGTTAATCCTTAGCTCGCACAAGTTTCTCAACTTCTGAGAGTTGTCGTTCGCATGGGGGCGACAGCTGATTAACGGAAAAAACAGATTTTTTTAAACAGACAGCTGAAAAATATGGAATCGAATGACGTATCCATATACTGGATGTTCCTCTGATTGCGATGGATGCGATGAATATATGGATGCGATGAATATAGATTTCTAATAAAACAAAAATTTTAATAGCCATTCATTAAAGCCAGTAAAGAGGCACATCATTTGAGTGACACGATGCCCCGGGACCATAAACACTTCCACAAAACTGACGTTAGCTCTTGAATTATCATTATTGTTGAGGAAATTCAATCAAGATCACTGAACATTTCCTAAAATTTCCGACCCTCCATAGTTCCCCACAGAGTGCTCCTTCATCAAATAATTATGCAAAAACCCAAACATACGCACTTCATCATCTCATATTAAAATGTCTTTTGTGCGAACACCAGCCTGGTCGTCCCCATGTCAAGTAGAATAGTTCTTAGTAGGCCGTGGAAGCTTTTGTGTTCTGGAATAATACTCCTTTTCAAGGGGAAATCATTCATATCTTCCACTCGGTTTGGCAACAATGAGATGCAGATCTGGATTTGCATATAATTCCGCTTGTTGATGGTTTCAGTTTCAGATGGTTTTGTATGTAATTTGAATAATATTTCTTGTACGATGTGGGAGGTGACTAGGTGTATTTTTATCCTTCGTTAAAATTATCTTCAAGAGATGAAGAAGAATAATTTCTTACTTTAAAATTTCAGTTTTGAATATTTAACGAGGTACACTTTCTTTGGTACAAAATAGTGGATTTTTGTTTAATGAGTGAGTGGTTGGGACTGGGACTTCTTACTGTTTATAGTTCTTATGCCACACTTCACTAATTTAACGCTTCCTGAAGCATCATGTAACAATTTCTACGATTTTATTAGGAAGTTTCAAAGGTTTAGTCTGTTTTACTGTCATGTGTTTTTCTATCTCCATATCTCAATAAATATTTATTCTACTGTGTAGTCGTGTATACAGATCGATAAAGAATTTTGTACTCTATACATTTATGCTTTTCATTTTTCCCTACGAATTCAAATTAAACTCAAGCGCTGCCGATCGTTCGATTGGTGATCTATTAATTCTGAAGAAAATTCTATTAAATTCAGGATAAATGTGGTTCTGGTACCTGCAATAGGTACCTGGAATAACACATTGTTACCTGAATTATCAATACCAATACCATAACAATAATTATTGGAAAATTACCAACTATTGTTCCAGAAACTCTACTTGTGGATTGCTCCAACTACCAATGGATAGTTGTTGAAATTCATGCTTGAAATGGTTGACCTATAGTATTCCAGGACGAGGATTTGGGGACCCTTGTGGAGACTGACCCATCACAAACTGAATGCCGGACGCAAGAGTTTTGATTTCACTCATATTATTTTAATGTTATCATTTCAAGTCAGTCACCTAGTTTTTATTAGGTTAAAAACGAACAAAATAATCTCGTCCTCGTTCTGACGTCTTCTTGAATTTTGACTATACACAGTTGACTATACACTTTTTTTTTGGAAAAGTTTCAATGACGTTCAACTTCAGCACTTGTTAGTGCTTTAAATTTAACTTAAAATGATGCTGCCAACTGCGACCCACTGATGTTCAGTGTTTGTCAAATTCAACTTTTTTTTTTAATTGAAAAAGTGCATTTGTAGATAGAATTCAACAGAAAGTTACTTGAAAAAGTTGTGTCTACGGCAATTTTATATCCATATATTGGCCAGCAAACTCTCATGTCGCACACGTTCGAAGGCTTCAGAAACATCAAGCGCTGCAGCTCTTGACTCTCCATGTTTCTCGATTGCGTTATTCCAAATATGGGTGACATACGACAGAACACCGCTCGTTGATCTTCGTTTCCGAAAGCCATATTGATGTTCGCTCAAGATGTTGAAGCCTTTCAAATATTCGAGGATATGGTGGTTTACGACTTTCTCCATGATTTTTCGTATCACTGATAGCAAAACGACTGGTCTATAGTTATTTGGAAGATTTTCACTTGCTCTTTCTTGTAAGACAGATTGAAAAGTCTGCAAAATACTGGTGCTTCATCGCACAGTATCAATGAAGACGGTACTTTCGACCCCATGCTTCTGCTTGTAAATCTTGCTCTTCAGATAACCTGACAAAAAGTAATAAAGTGCACTTGATTCTGGGGACCTAGGTAGTCACTGAATGGCGTAAGGGCACCTTGCTGAAAATTCATATTTCATCTACTTATTAAATTCAGTTCGTTAGAGAAGTTATTCAGAATTTTCGTCAAGCACGAATCACTAATTGATGATTAAATTAAGTTGAGTGAAATGCTGAATCTCAAACAACACTTGTGGACATTGAGTATGTACTATGATAAAATTGTGCCTCAATAAGTAGAAATGATTTTCGTGAAATCCTATTTTCGCGGCAAAAGATAGGATACCATTGATAGAAGATAAATCTGTAGATATCCTGCCAAAAATTGCTTGACCTGGTCTTGTGAGAAAAGAGATTCGTTCTCTTTTGAACCATATGGACAGTACCATGACTGAAATCAAGGTCCTCAATAATATCTTTTTGAATTTTCACAATAGGCTTCAGAATCTCCAATAACTGCAACTTCTCTACTCCCGATTTTCTTCATGGCTGACTGAACAAAGCACAGTTATAATTATAGTTATATTCAATCCCGAATTCAACCTAGTAACTAATTTCCGACTATAAACTCAAAACTTTATTAAATTCTGACTTCAACTCATTATCAAAAAATGTGATCCTCCTTCGCCTTCATACAATTTTCAGAGAGTGATGTACATGACAAATTCTTCTACATAATGATAATTAATCAAACCCAAGTTACTTTCACTGTCTCTTTCTGTACACCGAATATTCCTAAATAAACCTGAATAGATATTATTGGATTTTCATTCTCATTCGTTAATTTGTTCTTCCTTTCCTTTTAGAAGTTTCACATTCATTCATGAATTGTTTTAAATACATTCATTTCCCAAACGGTACGGCACTGTCTGTAACCCCATACGTTCAACCTATAATAGGCTATAAATTTTGAATGCTTTTAATTTTATAATTGCCATGCCGTGTTATTTACATACAAATTTCATTCTGGGGTCGTTACCGACGATATGAACAATGAGAAACCAAGCCGCATTCATTCAATGCGGCAACTTTTGAAATATGAGTGATAGAGGTTCTGCAAACGAAACTTGGTGGATATTTGTTCAAAAGTTGGATAGGTGGAAGTGGAACCTATGGCATATGAATCCGATACACATAGCGTAGACTTCCGGAAGACTCCGGTCCTCCTTCTTCGAAGCCAGCTCAAACAACGAGAAACAACGAGAAAGCCAAAAAAGACGATCAAAAAAGCACCTAAATTATGTGATGAAGCACTAAATTTCTCGAAATTCGAGATATCAACAACTGAATCCTCTGTGAAGGGTAATTTAATGACTGATGTCAATATGAGCGATGGCTCTGCAACGGGTC